ATACCTCTTTGTATAAATACTTCCTTCGATCAAAGAAACCAATATGACATAGGATACGATACCATCTGCATGGATTATAATATCCACAAGGACCTATAGGGTGTCCAAAAAAAAAGCTTGATTCAGTACAGTCAATATGTGCACAGAAAATAAAATAGACCAAAGTGCTCGTTGTTATATTGATGAAAAGCAGTAGAAAAAAATGGTCAACAAAATTTACGTCTCACGGCAGAACTAACCTAGAAATTTGTCATTAGCCTAATGCACTACATTTGTCATCTCTCGATAGAGAGGTGTGTTATAGATTTGTGTTATTTAATTTACTCTCAGGTAATCTGTCGTGAGGGTCGGGTCGAATAATTTTGGAACACCGTATGTATATTGCATATACAGGGTGTCTCGCCGGAAATGCACACCTCGATTATTTCCATTACGATTGCAGATGCGGTGAAAAGTTTCAGTACGAAAGTTGCATGATTTCAGGGGGATCGACTTTCCGTCCGAATGATTTTTTAAATGTTCTTTTTATTTCGAGATACAGCACGTTACATGGCTTTTTTTCAAATTGAACACCATTTTCTGTTGGTAGAAGAAAATGAAACACGTTTTTTTTTTTTTTAACATTTTAAGACCTCGTATACTTAAATCTATCCAGTCATTACCAAGTTATTAAGAAATGAATTTATTGAACAATTTTCAGTTGCGGTGCGCGAACCCTAGATGCTTTAGCAGCCCTGTAACCGAAGATTGTTCAGTAAAGATTCCATCTAATCCGTATCTCGAAATCAAATGAATATAAAAAAAAAATCATTCGGACAAAAAATCGACCCCCTCGAAACCATAAAACTTTTGTTTGAAACTTTTTCCCGTATCTTCGTAACGGTGACAATCGAGGTGTGCAACGTCGGCGAGACACCCTGTACATGTATATACTTGACCCTGTCTTTATATCCTCCAACTTTTTTCCTCCCTTCTCAAGTTTTGGATTTGGGCTTCTATCAAGTACGATCCTCCCCCAATCCTTCCATCAGTCTGTCATCCCTCTGACGAATAAACGGCCAAACACTATATAGTGTTATTTCATAAAACTCAATGAGGCCAGTATAAAAACAATGAACATAGCTTTCCACTCATGACGTAAATCCAGTAGTGAGCGCAGAGGGAAGCAAAGCTCGGCAGTTCGTCGTTTCTTCCCTTAGGAGCTGGACTTGGCCCTGTGCGCCAAATTTCTTTTTTTTTTTCTTTCGACAAATTAATCGAAATGAAAAACCTAACTACGGGTCTCAATTTCCAGCCAGCGATCCCGGCAAATGCTTTCGCTTTATTTTCACTAGCAGGGGTCGACCCACATTTATTCAACTATTCAGTCCACTCATCCAACCCCTCTACATCCGAATGACAAGGAACTGACTAAAAAAGAAAAAGGCCCGCGGACCCGTAAAATCGTACCTATAGCTCGCAGAGCCACTGCACAAATATTTATGTCAGAGTCGTCATAGTCGGAGTCGTTCTCTTCATTTTCTTATGCCCGCGTATACGTTAATGTTACCGACTTGAATTGCGTCGAGTCAAAAGAGAAATATGATCCCTGCGGCTCGGTGGTGTCTCGCGCGACTTTTCGACATCACGTAAAGTCCACGAATCTACGTGAGCCAGTGGTTGCTCTGCGTGAAGATACAACGTAGAATCCCACGTCATTCTACAGCTCGGTGCACACGTCTAAAGCCCCTGTCATAATTCCCATTAAGTCTTGAGGAGGTCCGCTGGCTTGTCACGCATAACTGGCCCGAGCTGTACCGTCGAGATTCTGGGATATTCAGTAGACCATTAATGTCCCTAGCTTCGTGAATCCACGAATGGACCCTTCTTTCATAGAAACAATTAGTCTCGTGTCAAATAATAATAATATAGAAATAATCTCTATGCATATATATATATATATATATATATATATATATACGTAACGTACAATTCTTACGAAATATACATACGTATACGTATATAAATGCTTCTTAACAGGCTTATACCTTCCTAAGGGTCACGTCTCACGTATACCTACCGATATATCTATATATAGAGAGACAAAACTCCTTCCCGTTAAGAACCTTCAACGAAAGCGGATTCGCTCTCCGACGAAGACACGAAGATGGATTTTTCTAGGGCGATGAAAATCCCCGTTCTTCAAATCCACACAATGCGAACCCATAGAGCACGAGCCGTTTATTAATGAAGCCGCTTCTACGGTCTTTGTGGCTCATTATCAGCTGCTTATTTAAATCCTCGAGTACGAAAAGCTGGACTTTTTGTTTCCCCGTCAACAGTATAGCTTTGCCTGTATTTACGTACGTGTATATTACCCAGAAATACATTTGCTGGAGCCTGTCGCGTCTTTCTCATATAACATCCTCGATACAACCTAAACCGATAAACTTACTGATACGAGCAACGGTGTACAGGCATATATATAAATATATTGATACTAGATTATCTTTCACGAACGTATCTGTTCGCATTGTCGTAACGATCTCGTCTGGAATTTTTCACTGGATCCAATGATCCACGTATTGAGCAAGGTAAAAGGACTCACCTGTTATTCATCTCTGAATTGCTCTTTTACACGCTCCTCACCATAGAAAAGTCATTATTGATAGTTAATAATGCGAATACAAAATTCGAAGCAGATACGATTCGCCGGAGGCTTCTTTTCAGCTTTGACGATACGTCGATTTTATACGGCTTTTGTTCGTTTAATCAAGCGCAGATAATATACACAGGGTATATAGACTTTTTGTAAATGAATTGAAAAATTCTTCAGCCCTCATTTACTCGACCTCGATATATATATACTTGTGTGGGCTTTTACCTGGCTTTATGGACTCTTCGTAACCTCGAAATGAAGCAGGTGGAATTATCTTTTTGACGAGTTCGTATCATAAATAGATAATAGGCTGTCGAGTCTTAAAGAGAATTACTCGAGCGCGCTTATGTAACGCTGCGCTTAATCGCATTCTGTAAATTTCTCGAGTGACGCTCCGAAGAGTTCTCGAGAGCCACTGTTGGAGATTAATGCATCGGCATCTATCAAGAGAGGGTGAAACCAGACGGGGGAGAATCCATTTCCTCGAGTATACCAGAGTCGAAGAAAGTGGACGGGACGTGTGCTGGTTTCTATCGAGTAGCCATTGCACATGGACCATTTGATATTCATCTGGATGACTCTAAGAAAATTTACATGAATATTTGTCTTGGGGGTTAATAAAGCCACGCAGTAACTCGAGTAGCCACGTGGGAAGTGTAATCGAGTAAGAAGTAAAATTTCGAGAGGCCATCTCTCTACGATAATAGATATAAAAGAGTCACCTAACCTCTAAATATAATTTCTCGATCGATTTAAAGGTATTCTTTCAACAAACTTTGAGAAACCAAATTTACACGGGATCGCGCGGATCATACGTCGTGCAGTGTATAGTACTTGTGAGATCAAAAAAAAAGAAAGTCAAAAATCAAATACCGCTTGTCAGATTAAAAAAACATGGGATTTAGGAAGCATCGAAATATCTTCGATAGAATTCACGTATCGGAATGACAAGCAGGTTTTGAATTTATTCGTCCGTTCATACCTAACCTGTGTGCCGAAACTTTTCCTCGTGGCGCGCACCAAATATTTCTTTTATATTGTCCCAAAGCGATTTGCAATACTGAACTAGTTCCGGTTGAGTGTACATTTTACGTGTGCATAACTAAATTTACTCGCAGTCGAATTCACAGAGGCTTTGTATAACGAAATTTCATATTTCGTATAGCTCAGACCACCTGACTGCTAGCAGCATTACTGGCGATGGGTTACGTTAGCACGATGTCGTAAAGCCTTAACGGGAAATAACAGCGGTTCACGACAATTTCGCTAGAGCGCACGTGCGTTTGAAGGAAATGTGAGAAAATCGAGAAAGAAAAAAAAAAGATCGAGCAATCCTTCCCGTGTAAAATTCTTCAATCGTATTCATAAAATTGTCCAATTCCACGTAAACCGGACAGAGTCCTCAAAGCTTTGAAGGTCCAAGCGACAACGATAACACAGCTTGCTTCTATTTCGGTACCAATGACACGTGGTACGATCTATTATTGGATATCACGATAACATCCAATTACTATGTATACACAGTGTGTCTTCTATTCACGGATCATTTTTCAGTCGCTTCAATGGGATGTCCTGTCAAACCTCCGATCGTTACGTTCATTCCAGTGAAATTTCTTCGATAAAAAAGTCCCACCCCTCCGCCACATTTCAGAGTGCTCTTTCCATTACCAACACTGAAAACTTCATAAAGCCACATCAGCGCTACGGACATCTGACCGTTGTATCGTATTACGTGAACATTTCCCATCCCATTACATTTCCACGTTGCCATACGTTAAAGTACACACATAGGATCCACCCGACCAGCAGACCTATCGATTAATTAATCCGCCAGTATACAGATATGAAATGCGTCGCTCCCGAGAGCCACGAAAGATTGGACAGAAAGGACTGATTAATTCAAAATGAAAAGTTGAGAATTTTCAAGAAACACCTCAACGCGTAATACACGTTCAACCATGGTATTCGTTGTATGAAAAACATATGTATATTAAACATACTAGATATACATATATATATATACATCGTAAGACCCACAGTCGAGATGAACAGGATGATATTCGCGTTCCTGGGAAATATACGCGAGCTCTTGGGATAGAAGAGGGGGGGTTCGGGAGAATGAAAAAAAAACAGCCCCACCACTCTCTCCCCCTCTCCCTATCATCTATGTCCTATCTTTTTACATGGTCTTCCTTTTTTTCAGTATTTCGACTAGCTGCTTCTCCAAGGCTGCTACAAAGTACATTACGAAGAGTAGCCGAGAGCGGCTGACACTTTTTCAAGAATTTCCTCAGGACGTTGGGCATTATACGGCGTTCAATACGCATGCGAGGTAAAGCGTGCGCGCGCGTATTCTGCTCTTTTCGATCGACGTGACGGCAGAGTGAAATCTGGCCGATGGCGGCTGCATTTCGGTGTTAAACGCGGAAAAAAAATGTTCCACGGGAACTCGAGCTGGGGTGATGCGTGATACGGGTCATAGTGTAGGTGGTGTGTTACCCGGTGTCAGAGGTGACAGCCGGCACACGGGAGAAGACAGGTAGAGTCGCGAAGCTCCTCGTCGGCGTCTGGCTGCTGCCGGAGAAGTAACACGCGAAGGCACTTCGCTCGCTGGCAGAATGTATTCGAGGTTTCTCCTTTGAAATACAATGACAATTATTAGCGCGTCGATCGGTTTAAACCCGGCAAGATAATCTACGTGTTAACTGGTGATACGGTGAATGTCCATTGGTCGAACTTTTATTTATCGCGGTGAAAAATAATGAGCGGCAGGATTTCGATGCGTTCGGACGATTAACAGCCGGGTCAACCGGGTAGAGTCTCGACGCGGTAGTTAATCGCCGTTTGTGATCAACGACTCGTATCATCGTGGGTGCATTGATATGATCGTGTTAGCGACGAACGTGCAATGATCATGATTTACTTTAAATTCTACCTTACGAATTTACGGTGCGACTCGAATACCAGACACTTGAAAATTCTCGTGCCCCTATTTCCGCTCTGGATTATTGGGGCTTTGTGCGTCAAGGACAGTAAGTTTATTTTCAGTCTTATATGTATACTGTGTGTGTGTGTTAATAATAAATTGATCCTCGGCTCGAGATAGTATCTTACGGTAGGTGGGTATGATAAGGAGAGAAAGAAAGAAGAGGATCCCGCGAAATGAGAAAAGTCCAGAGTACCACGCTGTCTGACGAGGCAACGCGATCGTAAAAACACACTCTGCTACTATCTGTTCTTCTTTCTCGCGAATACTCTTATTATACCGTCTCGCTCTCTCTCTCTCTCGCTATTCTTTGGCAGCTTTTCCTTTTCTTTTTCATAGTTCGATACGACGGCTTCGTTCTAATGGGGTAGTTTTCTTAAGAGGGAGAGAGAATATTCGGCGGGTCGTAAGGTACGTGTGCCTTGCATTCATTGTTCACTCGGTAAAAGGCACGTATCGACGCGAGACACGCGAGAATTTCCTAGGGTTCGGTATTCGTTCGAAATCTCGATAAAGCGTGAGAGAGAGAGAGAGAGAGAGGGAAGCGGTGAAGGAGTAAAGCAAAAAAAGAACCATACAACCAGTGTCGTTAAACGTGATGTTGGGTGAAAAAAAAATTTATTAAAATTTCCCAGAAGACTCAAAAAAGACATCTGAAATTCTATGAGGGGCAAAAAAAAAAGGAAAAATAATTTTTTTTTTTTGGTCTCGACATGCTCCATTAACAGAGACGTTTGCTGTGGATTTTGTTAATGGATTCGTCAACTGGTACGGTTGGTGATAAAAAGAACAATCTTTTGCCAAGAAAAATCGTCTGTTCTGTTTAAAATTAGTGTACAGGCTTTAGGGTATTTGCGCTTTGTCTCCCTTTTATTCCTACGAGTCTCACGATACAGGCGGCAATAACATTGACTTTGATCTGGCCCATCAGCATATGTAGGCGTATGAAACCGTGTGAGGAATATGTAACCTTGTCAAGTATATATTCCTCAGCCGCCATTATAAAGTGGGGATACATGTTTTGTCAGTGGTAAAATATAAAATTTACCTTTGTGAATCCAATGTTGAAAAGTCCTAGAGTGCCAAAATAGAGCTCGTGTAAGGATTGGAAAAAGTCGAGAGAGAGTAATCCACGTATGGGCATTGAGCATACCCGAGTATGTGAGTGAATCAGACGAAGGCCACGATATGTGTAAGAATACGTGTGTGAATGAGAAAAGAAAAGGAGAGCTTGAACGATATGAAAGAAATCTCCACGAAAGGATCAAACGTCTGGGATCGAAATGGAGAATTGGAAAAGTAAAAAAAGAAGAGAAAAAAGAAAATAATGCAGCCATCTTTCTTTCTTCTTAAACATACCTTGCTCTCGCTCTCTCCTTCTTGAAAAACGAAATCATACGAAGCCAAAAAAAGTAAATTCAATTCGGCTCGCATGAATATATAGTATACATTTATATACCTATACCTACAGAGTTATACACTAGGCTAGGTCGCATCAACCCAAAATGATTAATGATGTCATTACTCCGCGGTTCGACGGAGTGCATAATGACGTCATCGCGGATGTCGTGCGACGTAGAAAATTGAAGTAATACGACTTGGCAGGACATTACGACGCCAGATGCCGGTACTCGCTTTCCATAAGATATTCAACTGCATCACTATTCGGCCAAAGTAGGTGGGTGGGAGGCTAAGGTTGGGTTGTCCACAAGAGAAGACAGTGGAAAGATTTCGTTCAGTTTCTTCGATTAATTTCTTATCTTCAACACTCAAAAGTTATCATAGTCATACTATTATATATTCCATTTATAACATTCCAATATATATATATATATACATGGATACCCACCACAATCTATTCCCTTAGGCTATGGTTGTCTATATATATATCTATACATATAGTCAGGCAGGTATCTACTATGTCCATAACGTATATACTATGTAAATTGAACGTAGGTACTATCCCACAAGATAATACGAGTTTATTGACTTTTACAACGATTCGAATGCGAAGAAGAACCCGCTGTTCTTTCGATCCGTAAAGCTCGCGAGCGACTACACCAAGTGAATATTTTTGTTTAGCCAAGTAGTAGGGATACCATTGACAAAGAGGAAGACTATTCCCTGTGCGTCAGCGGTATTTGCAAAATAAGGCATGATAAGGAACCGAAAAGAATGATAAAAACAGATGACCATACCGCAGGGTTTGTCGTAGTCAAGTGCATTAGCAGGGATATGCTATAAATTTTATTAAGGGTTTGTCGAGACTGCTTCGCACTGGCCTGAATATAGGCAGTTTATTAAAACGGCCAATCGTAATGCTATTTATTCCTATCGATTTATCAACTAATCTGTCCGATTGAAAAATAATGAATTAACTTCCCATGAGAGGCGCTGGCCGTCATATAGGCAGCTACTGTTAAAATCAACAACCTGTAGATATCCTGCATGGTGACTGGCGCAGCAGTAGATGTAGCTAGGTAGCTATGTGACTATAGTTAGCTGAGGCTGCGGTAATTAGAACATAGGATAATTGTAACACGTGCTCACGACTCTTCACGATCATCCCTGTTATCGGATTCAGATACCGCGAAGGGAGAGAGCCGAATACGCGTAACGATCCTCCAAGCTGTGTATACACGACTATGCCAATTTCCTTAATTGAAATATGAAAAAGGCTATATTTACCTTCGGGACAGTTCGCAGTTGTCTTTTACCATGGTAGATCGAAAGTCAGGCTGACTAATTATAAAGTTGTACCTGACTCCTGGTGCGTTGCTTCGGTTCATTTGAGCCAAACATTGAATGTACCAAACCTTCTAATTATATCATAGCTGTGTTCTTTCGTTGCTACAAGATACCTAGTATGCTGTAATGTTTTTTTTTTTTTTTTTTTTTTTTTTTTTAAAAAA